GGTCCCGGATGATGTATATGCAGGTATAGTGCATTTGTGTGTGGGTCATACCGTAAGGTCCCGGATGATGTATATGCAGGTATAGTGCATTTGTGTGTGGGTCATACCGTCAGGTCCTGGATGATGTATATGCAGGTATAGTGCATTTGTGTGTGGGTCATACCGTCAGGTCCTGGATGATGTGCTGCAGAAGACCTGCGTTGGCCAGCATTTGGTTGCGCAGCTGGACGTGCTGCAGCAGCAGCGACAGCATCTGCGCCAGCAGGGGGAGCTTCTCCTCACATAGGTCCGAGACGCGGAGAGACTGCAGTACCAGCCGAAGCAGCCGGGGGACGCTGCTGAGGGCACCCAGACATGCCCCCCACACTGTCTCCCTACCGGGCAGAGGGGGATGGACTTCAGACAGCCTGTTTCCATTTATATGGCTGGGTGTTTTTCAGGTTATTAAGCTCATTCAAAGGTACAACAGCTATACCACAGAGCTGCCGGGTCACATGCCACCCAGTTTAATGATTGTGCCGCTTAACAGTTGCATTATGCACAGATGGGCAGATATTTCATCCAGTTATAAAGCTGGATATTTATAAGATTTTATACACCTGGATGAAGGTTACAACCAGTGTTGGAAGTTACTCACAAAAGTAATCCATTTAGGACAGAGGTGGAAAGATCAGATCCAGAAAAGTACAAATCCAGACCAAGATTTTGTTTCAACCAAACATGCTCAGCAGTCTATGACTGACTCTTTAAACTCAACTGGTTGGTTGAAAGAAAATCTTGGTCTGGATTTGTACTTTTCTGGATCTGATCTTTCCACCTCTGTCTCAAATGGATTGCTTTTGTGAGGAATTTCCCCAACACTGGTCACAACAAACGTGCCCCTGCAGGGCCTGGAGTTCGTAAGCGGGCCGCTCCGGGTCCAGGTGCTGACCTCTTCCGTGTGCTGTCCAGGGCCGCAGGCTGCAGCTCCAGGCTTAGAAGCAGGGTGAGCAGGCTGAGACAGCAGTCGCTGAGGAAACGGAGGAGGGTGTCGCTGGGCAGTAGGGAGGGGTCCAGCAGGCGTGACACAGCCCTGAGCAGCCCTGCCGCCGTGCTGTCCGGCACCACCTGCAGGCCTGCCTGCGAACGGCAAGAGAGCCAGAGGAGGAGTCAGTGTGGCCACACCCACAGAAAGGACACGTCGACAATAGTTTGTTTACATCAAGATTAATCTACCATCCCATGTTGTAAAGTGAATGTTACATAAAATACATCAGGATACAGAAAATCACGCCAGCACCAGCTGACAGGCAGTGACACAGACAGTGACCCTGACACTGCGGTTACAGGGAGGGGTGTTTCCATGGCACCACTTACCAAGTTCTTGCAGATGGCATTCTGCAGAACGTCGAAGCACTGAGCTCGCGAGTCCACTGTCTCCAGGCAGTGACACACTTCCTGTTGGGGTGGGGGCACAGGTCAGCCTCGGCCAAGCCCAGCCAGCTGTACACACATTGTACTCTGAGCTCCAGGTACTGTCACTGCCAGTTCGCAAGTTACGGACACAGGTACAAATGCCTAACCATGTCTGCAGTGCATGAGCACTGCACTTCCATCCACCGTAAAGGTGAATCCTCTGGGGCTGAAAAGTAGGTTATTGAAGAGTCGTCTCGTCGCCCCCCCCCCCTCCCCCAACCCCTGGTGTTATCAGGCCAGCAATCAGCACACGTGATGCTCAATCCCCACCTTGAGAGGGATGGGGGGGGGAAGGGGGGCACTGCAGTAATGAGATCTGACACTGTGCAAATTAACACATCGCCTATTCCTTTTACTCCCCCAACGGTTTTTTGGCCCAACAATATTTTATGAGTACAAACAATAAATAGGTGTGCGTGTGGTAACAAGGCTGAAACTGAATTACGATAATGGCATTACGGCGGGATTGGATTACAGCACACTGAAAGGACACCGACACGTCATTCAATTTGCCTTTTATTATTAGCCGTTGACGGCCATTAATCAAGGGAAAAACCAGATTAGGGCCCGATTAGAGGGGCCTTGAATTATTATGGCCTAATTGGTAATAAGTTGAACCCCCAGCAGCAGAGCTACAGGGCCTGGTCCCTGCTGGAGCCTCAGACGACCGTCTGCCTGTCCACCTCACACAGAGTCCACTGAGGCAGGATGACCGGACCGGCGGACTGGGAGGCCTACGGGTTGTGACTTTGTTTGGCGGCGTGTGGATGCAAAGCCCGATTCTGTACAGCACATTTTTAATCATATTGTTTCTTGACCGACTCCAGCGTCACAGCATTTAAGCATCTTTCTAAACGGTCAAACAGCAACACCCTTCTGGGATCGTATCTAGCAAAACTCTTAGCGCACACAAGAAACCAAGCAGGACGATGTTTCGGGTGGGAAGTCACCTCCAAGTTGGCCAGCAGCCCCTGTGGAACGTGACATTCCATGCAGGGCGTACAGCGTAAGCCACCGAACAAGAGGACGGGATGGTGACAGGAGGGGGAGGGGGTTCATCACAGGGCGGCCGTCAAAGCGGGAGATTTATGAGACGCGTGGCGGTAGCTGGTGACCAAGCAGCCGGCTATAGAGATGCCTTTGCAGAGTGATAAATGCTAATGAGAGGCCGGGAGAATGATTGGGGCCTGACATTTTTACATGGAAATTAAACAGGGACAAAACTGAGCCCTGGGGGTGTATGTCTGTACGTATGGGCCCTTCAAAAAAGAAAAAGTGGAAGGATAATGTAAAAAGAAAGATCACTAATTCTACCTCACAATTAAAGGCTGGGTTTTGACTTTTTCATTTTCACGTCCAAGTCAATCAGGCGTGGCAGCACAGAGCGACGCTAACAGACGGTTATTAAAGGCCGCGTGGCCCTCACTACCCGTCCCTTAATGAGGCCCGATTGTTCTGCTGCAGCGAGAATCCCAACAGGTGGGGGACTTTTTATTTTTTTGCCCACCCCCACCCTTACATTCGTTATGATTCTTTGACGAAAATGGATATTAATGAGGGAAAGTTGGACAGCATTTCACCTCCAAAAGTTCGCCGTCTGACCCGGACACAGACAGGCAGGTGAGATGGCTGGGACAGTGTTTTTGGACTCAGAGGCTCGAAACCGCACTAGAAACAGAATGATTGCAAGGTTTTTGTTTTTTTTTTCCCTCTATTGATGGTCGTCTCGGTCATGGAGGTCGCTGCCTTTACGCGCCACCGAGATCCCGCTCAGTAAATGATTTTGCCTCCTTTAAAAATAAACTTATGCACAAAACCCACCCTCATTGGTCCAAAAGGAGGACAGAGTTGTTGAGATGACCAATGGATATGTAGGAAGGTGTCCAGGACGACGTGGAGATGGAGCAGACGTGTCAGACGGGTCGACTCACCTCTACCACATCCCAGTGGTGGGTGAACTGCTCCAGAGATGTGGCGTATAAGCTGAGGGGGGACAGGGGCGAGGGGGGGGGCACGGTGTCCTCCTCGGCCTGCTGTAGTGTGGACAGCTCATCCGCCGAGAAACCTGCATGCCAGCCATACAGGTTAAGCACTCAAAGGTACAACAGCAGAGCCCCTGTCATGCCAGGTGAACCTTCAGGTCCATAACCTGGAGTACAGTCAGGGGGCTGTTTCTGTATTCGCCTCTTCTCTCCTCATGTAATCCTGTTTTCTCTATTTTTTCCTATATCCCCTGTCTACCCCCTGTAATGTTTGTATATGTATGGTGGGGTTGATCAGGATAAAATTCATTTCACTGCACGTTGTACCTGTGCAACTGTGCATGTGAGAAATAAAGCAACCTTGAATCTCGAATAACCGCCACACGTGGACGGGACCCACCTGTGAGGGTGGAGAAGAGGAAGCTAAGCAGGTCCACGTCACTCACTGCCACCTCCTGCTTGTCAGATGTCCAGCCGCCCATTGAAGACCTGTGGGAGGCGGGGAGAGAGGAGGTGGTGAGGTAGACGACCCGGATGCGGTGATGTCGCCGTCACAAACGCAGCATGCACACCGCCCTGCAAGTGGTCAGATTCAAAGGCTTATGCTCTCGCCCTCACACCATGTGAGCACGGAACGTCCAGCCACATCTCCCAGGCTTTAGGAGGCTCATCAGAGACCTCAGACCCACAATATTCCACCTCACACAGGACTAAGGACCAGCTTAGAAGACACAGCCAAACCCCGGCTCCTGAGCGTGGCCGTTTGCTCCTGGGACGTGAAACACTGCCTCCCATACGGATGCACGTGCTGAGGTCATGTGACTGAAAGAACAGCATATATAGGAGGTAGAGATGCGAAAGCCAGGCCAGGATCGGCGAGTTGGGGAGGGGGTGTCTCAGCATCACTGAGGTGGGGAGGCATAGCTCAGTCACACTGAAGGAGACACTGAACCTGAATCTTTGGAAGCGGGAATCGTCCCCCTGGCTTTTTAAGGATGTTAGGATTCTCTGTAATTTTTGGAGCATGATTTTGGGGGTGGGAGGGGGAGGGTTTACATAAGAAGCGGGGGGGGGCACCCACACACACACACACACACGTGTGAGCTGGTTGACATCCGCCGGGGTCTCGCCGACGCACACGCCTCCCAAAGGGCCCTTTGTGCCTACAGAAAGCCCCCCCTTACAGAAAGCCCCCCCTTTCATCTCCACCCCATCCCGTTTGTGTAACAGTGCCCCAGTGACGTCGCCCCGGCATGGGATCGCCTGCCATCACACGAAGGGCCAACGGGGGGGGGGCCACCGGTGCCGTCACACACGCCAGCAGGAGGCCACAGCCCGGGGGGGCACCAAAAAAAAAAAACAGTGAAAGGTTAAAAAAATGTTAACTATGTGAAGCACGCAGAGCGTGACTGTGGCATGGACTGGCAGGCCGGATCTCGGGGCAAATGGCATCAGAGCGTGTCGGCACACGGAGACCCTGCGGCCTGCGGGTAGCACCTCCACACCTCCTCATCCAGCTCAGAGAACAGGCCACAGATCCTCTCTAGTGTCGAGTCCTGCTCACCATTATGATTTTTCAAAATTCACAAGAAAACGCGGCATAGTATGAACCATCACAGCTGCACTGACACCCACTGCACTAAGACTGGAATGTTCTGGAATCAGTCTTATACTGTTGATATCAGGAGTTACTGTTACACTAATCTGCAGTACAATCTCCTGTGATTAACAAACAGAACGCCGTTTATGTAAAAGCGGCGAGGCTTTGGCTGCGGTGAAGGAGCAACACTGCCATCTGAAGGCGATCTGCAGTACTGCGGCCTCTCGGCCAGCCTGTCACCCCCAGAGAAAGCACCCCCACCCTGAAATCTCACCAAAGGGGTGACTCCCAGAACAGCCATCCTGACCCTGTACCAAATGGGTGGGTACGTCAGGACCCCCACCGGGGTGGAGGGGGGTCCTTTTACACAGCAAGTAGCTAAACTGATACACACATACACACACGCTCGCATACTTGCACACGCACACATGCACACGCACACACGCACACATACATACACATACGCACACATACATACACACACACGCACATGCACACATACATACACACACACGCACACATGCACATGCACACATACATACACACGCACACATGCACATGCACACACACAGGAATGTCTTGAACCACTGTCTCAGTGACCAAAAGCCCTCTGAGGCTGGGTACTTCCTACATGCAGCCACATCCTGCCCTGTGGGCCAAAAGCACAGTAAACAGGAGACTCATACATACATCACCCCCCCCCCTCCCCCCCGCCAGCAAACATACGCCGACGGAGATGGACGTACAGCGCTGGGGGGGCTTTAAAACACTTTAAACGTCAGGCCTGATTAAAGCACTGCACAAATCTTACCCCACAGCCCCTGCCCCCAATGAGCGCTTTGTTCATGGGATGAGCGTGTCCCAGGCAAGGCTTAATGGGAGAAATGGGACAACAAGGGCCAGTGTGAGGCCCCCCCAACCCCGTCCACTCCCCCCACCTCACTGGCCTCTTCGGGAAAATTGTTTGATTCCATTATCAGCTGAAATCTCCCAGTTCATGTCTCCTCCAGGTAACTGGGGTCGACGAGCTGCCCCCCCTAATTACCCCAGATGGCAGTGAGCCCCCATCCCAGTTTGTGCAGTGGCATAAGGACAGTTCTGGAGGGGGGGGGGGGGCACAGGTTGCTGTGGGAATCTAGGTAAACAAGCCCCAAAAAAGACCACTTTGAAAAGACCGGGACTCTGAAATGCTAGTTTGTACCAAACTGAGTCACAAGACAAATAGAGCATCAGGCCAGCGGATAGCGGCCTTTAAGGTCAGGGGGGCCAATCCCCCACCACCGAAATAACCATGATTATGGGGATGTCACAGGAATGCTAATCAGCAATGATGCCAGTGCTGTTTAGTACTCAACTACTTCAAGTTTGCTGGTGTTGCAGAGAACTGTATCAACACCTTCAGGTAGGTGGTCAGCCATATGCTAAGTGACCCGCTCACTCTCAACAAGCGAATCACTCCTTTATTGCTCATGAAAAACCAGTAGACATATTCAAAATAATAGACTCACAACTTTTAGTATTACTGAGGGGGGGGGGGTAATTCTGCTTGCCTCCAATACTGGGGAGGGCTTCCTCTGTCTCTCACCTCCCACACCCCGAGGCACCACAGGGCCGCCCCCTAAACAGGAAAACTGACTCACGGAAATACGTGGTTCATTATCAGTGGGTCGCAAAACAAAAACTCTTGCTTCTAATAGGTCCCCCCCCCCCCCCAAGAAGGGATGATAGGCTATTTCCGTGTAGGGTCACTTGATTGGTCTACAAATGTAATTAACTTTTATTTTTATTTTATTTTTAAAATTTACCTTTATTTAACCAGGCAGGACAGATTAAGAACGGGTTTCTTATTTACAACTGTGGTCTGACAAAAGGCAGAGGGGGCCCAGACTCAGGGAGAGCAATTATCACAGCTTTATTTCCCCTGTGTTTTTCAGAGTTAGTGTCTACAGTCCGGCATTGACAATGCGTGGTACTGACTGCCATGGAGGGGCGAGGGGGGCAGAAAATACAGCGTGACAGAAAGGTAACTGGCATGGGGGTCTAATCCCGGTGGTCAGACCTCACTGGTACTCTGAAGTGGGCGGGGCTTACCTTAAATGCACCAGGCGAATGAGGGATGCAGCCAGGCTGGCCGACATCCGCCCCGTCGTGCAGCAGCGGCTCAGGCAGGACAGCAGCTGGGATGGCAGCCGTGGCAGGAAGTACACCAGCTGTACCAGTCGCTGCTGGGACTCCGAGGGCAACAGCACCAGGCTGCCCTCCAGTGGGTCTGTGGAGACATCGCAGCCTCATTCACGCGTCCATATCGCCGTCCAGCAGGAGGCGCACCAGTTCAATACCTAAATGCGACCAAAGGTTCACTGAGGCTAGATTTTCATGCTGGTACAAATGGATCAAGTGTAAAACTGTGAGTTGCACAGGGCCTGCGGAAAAACCTGCGACAGGGATGCAAGCAGCACCACCATGCGGCAGGAGATGCAGCAGCCCAAGAGAATAACATGGCACGTCTTTCCAGTCACGCAGTCAAAGAAATTGACAGGTACCTCGGCAAACCAGCCGAGAGAAAGACGGACTTTTAATTACCGTCAGCCATCCGAAAACAGAACGACGCCTTTCTGTAAACCCCCAATAATCTGTGAGTAAAAGCCCCTTGAGAGACATTAAAGGAGGCCAGCAATTTCATTAAAACAAATTCTACACATCATATCGCGATGCTCCTTGGGGCCGTAGGAATAGAGCTGCATTACGCACGCATTTCTCACGGGACACCAGATGGACTGCAGGCACCCCTCCCCCTCTGACCTTCCCAAAACCCCAAACCAAAGACACCATTGTCATACAGTTAAATTATATCCACTGTTTCAACAGAATTAAATCAGAGATAACAAACTAGCACTTCTGAAACATGAAGAGGTAATGTACCCCGACAACAGGCAAATTAGTTGCCCACACAGAGCTGCGGTTTGCTCTTGCAACCGGCATCAAGCAAATGGATCGGGGCTCCGTTTAAAAAGAGCACATGTGCAGATCTGCTGTGTGGTGAGAGCTCCCCCTCCTGGCCGGCCAATGGTACTACCACAACCCATCCAGGATAAAAAGATTCACTGTGAGACAGAGACACACAACCCAGGGTGAGTCCCCGCCCCCTCCCCCCTCCACTACTGCCACTTTCATGATCACAGATAGAGAAAAATTACCCGCTTACGCACATTGCTGATGTCACAAGCCAGCGGACAAAAGACATCTTGTGATGGAAGAAACACGAGCTATCCGCCACCCCCCCCCACCCCCCACCGGATCGCCCTCCCCTGCATCAGGCCATCTGCTGTATGTGCGAAGCACTGAGTCCCCGGTTGCATAAGCGCAGGACATGTGAGGTGAGGCTTGCCTGCCCGCCTGCACACTGTCCCATATTCTTACGGCATTTCTTCTTTTACTGAAGGTCAATAGGTGGCGTGACCGTTAAGGAGCCATGCTGGTGACCAAAATTGCTACCGGATCGTGCCGTAGAAACGGCCCGTGCTTTTGGGAGTAAAATATAAATAAAACACAGTAAATACTGGGAGCCGCTTCAGGAAAAGCATGTTAAGTAACGGACCATCTGCCGTGTCGGTTTCCCTCCTCCAATAAGGCTGCGGCCCTCCTTTCGGCGAGGGCGGCCCGCAGGGTGCCGGCTGGATGACGGAGCCGCCACACTGTGCCGGATGCGGTTGGATCAGCCTGGCTGGCTGACAGCTGAGGCGATTAGCCAGTCAGCGTCTAAAATACCCGTCACACGAAGGGGGCGGATTAATCCCGAATTAAAACACAGAAACGCTCAAAAGCAGTTCCAAACGGCAGTCGCGCGAACCGGCATTTTGGCCTCTGGCCTCACTAAAGGAGGTAAATCTTCAGGAAACGCCCGGCGCGGTAAAACCACAATTCCATCCCTCTCTCCCTCCGCTGGCCACTGATCATATGACACTTTTCTTTTCCCTCACGAAACATCATCCAAATCACCAGGTGTTTGAATCTCACATGGCCACTGATGCCAGCCCACTATCTCGTCACTCTATGCCATTTCTCACGTATATCGAAAAAGATGACAAAAATATTTACAATAGAAATACGTCGTGGGGGGCAATGTCGTGTGTCGTGTTTGTATTTCACAGCTTTAACCTACTGAATTTAGATCTAGGAGTGTCTCACAGATGTATGAAACACCCCAAACATGAAGACTGACCATTAGCTCACGCCGATCCGATTTGCAATTTGGATTAACGGGGCCTCACCATAGAGTCCGCAGGCCTGCGCCTGCAAGCTCTGCAGCAGGTCTTTGTTCTTCCAGGCGGCCGCCGCCTGCACGGTCTGCAGCAGCTGCGCAGACAGGTGGGGGTTCCGTGAGCCCAGCTGCACCAGCTGCAGAGGCAGGGCTGCCAGCCAGCGTGACAGCACCTTGCTCCTGTAGGGGGGAGGGGGGGGGTCATCTGAGAGCAGTGTGAGCGGGATTAGCACTGGGGCTTGGGGGTGTCAGAGGACAGGAGGGGGTCCAGAACAATGGGGAGGATGTGGACCCCACATGGTGCTGGAGACAGTGGGGGGGTTAGAAGGGCAGGTGAGGGACACATCTGTAGGCAGTGAGCGGTCTACAGGGGGCGCTCTGGGTACCTGGCTATGTGCGGCTGGCCCTGGTGCTCTTGCAGGTAAAGGCGGCTGAAGAAGCGCAGTAGCTGCATGCGGATGGGCAGCGTCAGGTTCCTCTGCTGGTACTGCACGTTCACGGCCTGGAGCAGCTCCTCCGTCACGGCTGGGGGGGGGGGAGAACCAGATGTCAGAGGAATAAGTCACATGGTGCCGAGAGTCAGCGCGGATAGGTGCAGGAACGACATCCCCACATTCACGCTTCATAGTCCAGCCGCTGCTCCTCACCTCTGCTCCTGTGGCTGAGGAGGAGCTTCCACACCACCTCCAGCAGGGGTCCCAGGTTCTTCGAGCTCAGCCTGACGCCGCTGGAAAGCGTCTCCCTCACAAAGGCCCGGATGGGCCCCAGCCAGTCTGCATCACGGCTGCCCTGCGGCTGCGTGCTCAGAGACACCATCACCTGGCACAGGGTGAGGTTCAGTGCCAGAGGCTCCACAGCGCCCCCGCCAGGCACGGTGGAATTCTGCGCCTGCTGTTGCTTGCTCCTATGCGACATCCAAATAATTGTCATTAACGCCCTCATCATCATCCTCCTCCATACAGCAGTAATCAGCACTATCGAAATCTTGACTGACATCTACATCATAACATTTATCCAGCCATTTACACCAACATCATGTTATTCAGCATCCAAAACTCCAGCATCCTTGTCAACATCAGACATCACCATTCAGATCGTTATAAACGTCGTCGCCATATCCCAAACACCCACAGCAACGTCAGACATCGCGGTCATCTTTATAAACACCTAGATTAACCAGGATTATCATGGCCCACATCAGTTACAGGAAGCCTTTACGCTGTGAAGACCACACCATGGACCTAAAATTCCAGAAGCTTCTGCTCATCTCCCGCTTGCTTTATAAGTACTCAGCTCTGAATGTGAACATCGAGCCCCGGCTGATCAGATCCAATCTCTTCCTCACCTCTTCATCTCTCCCTTCTTCTTTGGCTTGGCCACCTCAAGCAGACCGTAAGGGAAGTTCTTCATGAAGTGATGTTTGAAGTCATTCAGGTATGTGCTTCGGAACCAGCCGTCCTAAGGGCAGCAAACAGGACCCAGGTTATGACAGCAGGGCCGGTGTCAGAACATCTCTGCCGGTCACTACCCCGGATATTAGCCCAGAAACCCTTGTCAGAACCCCAGTTTGCTGCAGGAGGCTTAGCTGTCCCTTCTACTTCTACACTGCACCTCCCCCAGTATCTGTCACTGGCTTCCTACTGGTGGGACAGCGTCCCAGTGTGGGTGAGTCACTGACCTCTTCTAACCCAAACTGAACAATAAAATTCTCATCCCAGAAAATTTAAATATGGTTCCTAACAGCTTTCCATTTCAAAGCTAGTGTCAGGCATTATTAATTATTATTATTCATTATTATTATTATTATTATTATTATTATTATTATTATTATTGTGCTATCAAGTTCCCTGATGCCCATTGAAACGGCATTTCTCCATAAGGTCTGGCTAAAGTGCTCTGGAACATTTGGAGTTCAGAACCTGGCTTTTCAGTCCAAGAGCGGTATAAATACTCGGCTAGCGATAACATAAAAACCCATAACCTTCCGGATATGAGCACAGCTTCCTAGCCTGCAAAGCCACACGCCAGTGCTCCCACAATATCGTATATGGACACTTTGCATTCCCTCACTGGGAAATGAACCTTAGCCATGGCAGTGAGAGGGTCAACGCAAGGCCATTAGACCCTTAGGACATCTTCTATTAACTTCAGCCAATATTCCACACGTCAGTGACACAGATACATACCAGATCCTCCTGGTGGTGGCGCTGTGGAGCCAGCCTGCGTAACAGCTGCAGTATGGTTAGGACCTGATACATGAGGGACATCGCCTCGGGACTCAGCAGATGAGCACTGTCCGTTTTGCCTTGTTCACTCGAGGAGGCCTCCACCCACACCCCTAGCAACAAGGGCACCAGAGTAGATGCGAAGCTTCTCACAGTCTCTGCCGAGGCCAGGTCTTCGATGGCCGCAGCCCCTGGTTCTGCATCAGGCCTACACACAGCAATAACACAGTGTTAAATCAGGGGTGGAACGATTCTCCTAATCCTCGGTTTGTTTTAGACCTTCATATCTGAACCACAATTTGTGGTTCAGACCTCGGGGTTTTTTGTTCAACACTGCATTGTGTCAACATTCCTTTATCCATCTCTCCCTCTCTCTCCCCATCTCTCACTCTCTCACACACACACACACACACACACACACAGCACGAGTTTGTGGCTCAGGAGACAACAAAGATGTTGATGTATTTTAGGAGAGTGACATCCATGCTCATTTATAATCAAAATGCAAAGGGTAGAATAAAAGGACCAATAAGTACAAAACTAAATGAGACAGAAAGGTTCAGTAAACAATGGACAATGGGGGACAATGGGGGACAATGGGGAACAATGGTGTCCATTCACCACCAACAGCAACAGCTATTGAACATAAATGTATGAACATTCAAATATTAATTACAATTTGGCAATAATGTAATCTGGAAAACCAATTTACTTTGCCAGCAAATTAAAATGTGAAACAATATCTCATCACAGCAGAGATCACCTCTTTTGGTCGATATGAACAGGATTAAGCAAAGATATCAGCAGGGCTTGAAATACAAAAATGATCTACCTGAGCTGGAAGGAGGAGGGTGCGGGGGGGCGCACCCCCGAGTTCTCAAACACCTGCAGGCCGCCTTTCCCGACCACATGCTCCTCCCAGGTGAGCTCCAGTGATGTCACCACACCTTGCTCCTTGGCTTCGGCATCCAACGCCTGCACCTTCTGCTCCACAGGTGTTTCCTCCACCACGGCTTGGAGGAAGCGACTCAGCCTTAAAGGAAAACCGGGGACGAGTCAGACAGGGGTCTGATGCTGGAGGATGCAGCCACATGAACCACTGCCAACACTACATCATGTTAGCTTATCTGCTCCAGCTCCAGACAGACAGGCTTGTGCCAAGGCCTTTAACTGAATTGCTCTAGTAAACATCTCTAAGTGTAAAAAACTTTAATCCACATTGGACCCTTTGGATAAAGTTTAAAGCTGATGGGACTGCGGTTTGCATGCATGTCGACTTCAACACATGTTGACAGGATAAAACCAATAATATGACAGATGTGTTCTTATCAAAAGACAAATATTTATCTTATAATAGCACAGAAATATTATCTGCAATATGACTATGGTATTATTACAGTACAATAAATAAAAACTTGCTCCACTTTTAATTTATAGTCCAATATACCACAGAAGTTATTTAGGTGAAGTACTTTACTCAAGGGTACAACAGCATGGCCTCTCATGGGATTTGAACACTTAACTTTACTGGTGATGTCATACCTGACAAGCACCGTAAGCCGCCACTGCTGGCCTGTGACGGTGCGTCCCGGGGCCACGGTCAGGGCCCAGCCTCCGCCCGCCCTGCGCTCCTCTACATCCTTGCCCTTCTGCGACAAACGGCGCTGAGAGATGAGCTCCAGGAAGTTCCTGAGCAGCACAGCAGAGCGGGCCGACAGCAGAGCGGGATAATGCTCCAGGAGGATGTCCAGCACCCGCAGGGCATCTTCCTGGATGCCCTCGGAGATGTGTGTCATGGCGCAAGTCAAGTGGGCGCTCAGCAGCGGGAAGAAGGGTGCGACGCGTTCAGCCGGGACGCACTGCGCCAGGAGGCGCAACAGCCGCACTGCCGCTCCACGCACAGCCCCGTCCTTGTCCGCGATCACAGCCGCCGCTTCGCTGAGCACGCTCGACAGGTGCTGCTCCAGGAGCTGGGGGTGCTGGCATAGGAGTTCCCGGAGCCCCACTAACGCAACCTGTCTCACCCCACCACTGTAGTGGTGCAGCTGGGACAAAAGGTCCTGAAAGCGAGATGGGACACGGCTAAACAGTAGTTCTCAATCCTGTTCCTGACGCCCCCCTTGCCAGAATGTTTCCATTCCCACCCTACCTTACTCAGGCTCAGATGGTCCTTAATAGGCTAGTAATGAATGTGGATGAATGTGGCAGGTTGAAAGCAGCAGGAGTTGGAATGAAAATATTCTGGAGGAGGGGGGGGACGCTAGGAACACGATTGAGAACCACTGTCTTAAGAGGACCAGTGAAGAAAGACGTTGAGGAAGCAGAGAATCCCACCGCTCATCAATCATTAGACATATACTCCACTGGACATATGCAGATGTTTCATATGTTAAATATGTTAACTGTGTTCTACAAAGGAGATAGACTGACGCACTAGATGAAGCGGTTAAACACAGTATTAATCTTCACAGTTGCACAATATCGTGTCATTTCATCTCGTGCAATTTTTACCTTGATGCTGAGCCGCCGGGTCGTGGTCGGACCAGACTCATCTCTCTTCAGTTGATCGGGTAGACGGATTCCTTTCGTCCTGAAGTTAACATCGGTCGCGTTGTCCGGTTTGGGCTTCTTTTTGCCAACCCTGAGTTTGACTTTTTGGAAGTCATCCTGCCTTTTCCTCTTCTTAGTCATACCCGAAGCCTGTAATGCAGCGACAAGGACATGGGCAATCTGCAGTGATTTTCCCGATTCCGTCTAGAAGCAACTGGGTAAATCGCAGTCCAACATATTTTAATCAGTTTTGTTCCACCACTTACAGATTTGTCATTTACAAATTTGACAAAATTACAACATTTCAATACACAATCAGCAGAATACCGCTAGCTAATATGCGGTAAAAGTCCACATATTAGATTAGCTACAAGCTAACGTTATAGGATTGCACGCTTTCCGTGCAATTACTCTTTCTAACTAATTATGCACACTGCGGTATATGCTGATCCGAAACCATGCTCAATGTTAACTATAGGTACTTACTGACGTGCTTTTTACGTTAAAATCGGATGCCTAAAGCCCAACCTGTGCTGGGTAGACGATTCAAGATACCAACTTGTGTATGACAACGGGGTCCTACCGTAATGGCAGAGCTGCCCTTACGTCTGCCTGCAACCATGAGTTACAATGTGCAGGACAAAAACCCAAATAATAATTTAACGAGAAGGAGAAAACAGCCATTCTATATATTGAACTGGAGCTTTATACAGAAATTCTATTTAAAAAATAAAAATAGTGTGCGGCGGAAAATACTATTAACGAATCCTGTCATTTATTCAGTAACTTTATAAATATCAAATCGGTGCAACAAAACAGCCAACCCTACTATTTTTCTTATCCTTTTAAATACGGTAGGTGGTCGAGATTTATTTATTTATACATATATACATACATACCCAATAATACGTCAACAAACGTAGCGGACTCCTGCAAAGCTCTCTCTCGCGCTCACTCCGGAAGCCTCGCGAGACTGGGACCAGGAAGTACGTCACATTTGCATTAAAGATCCACAGTCAAGTAGCGGACGGTCTGCTATTGTTACCTCGAGCTTCGGCGGCCTTTTTATCGTTTTATAACGACGTATACGCGAACGTAACAAGGTAATCGCGAACACTTGGGTTGTTTAACGTTTTTATTGATATGCGGCCAGTTTTGTTTTCCCTTCGTGTAATATGCTTACGTAACTAGCTAGTCGTCGGTGTGGTAGTAGCTATCGCGGCGTCGCTTCTGAAAATGCTTTTGAACATCCAATAAACGCACTTTGCCGTCACAGTGAAAACTTGCTGCGTTACTTTCATATATTGCATTTTAAATTAGTGATAAAATTGCAGGAAGAAGGTATTTGAAAATTCCAGCCATCTGTTTTATCCGATAACTTCCGACTTACTGATAAGGCCCGAAACGGTACTGGATGTTTCGTTTCTTGTGTCCCGTGTTGTACTCTACTGTAGCGTATCCCTAGACGTTTCGTCTCTAGTCGACCGAGAAAATGCCGGCTTTGTTGTTGACTGTAGCCTTTCGATGCAACTGTAGTAATGCGGTCTCATGAACAATCTGAGGCGTGTGGTTTTTATAACGGTGTTCCGCTTTTTAGAATGGAAGGTGAAACAACCCCGCCTCCGAAGAAAGCGAAGAACGGAGGCATTAAGGTACGCCAGCAAGTCGTTATTTCCAGCAGCCAACTTCGGTTGTGTCTCTGAATTTTATCATTTTCATCTCGCTTCATACTATGGCGACAAGTACTAAGGACAAGTACACGCTGACACTACTGGAGACAGTAGATGTACACATACGAGTGGCAAATCTGGTTAATTGCATGTTTAATACGATTCCTGCGTGATGTTATTTTAATCAAGACTTGTAGTGAAATTTAGCTTAAAATGCCTGAACTATGGCTTTAAAAAGCTGAGTAAAAGTAAAGAGTTGTTTCCGGGGGCATTGCGGTAGGCGGCGTATTTTGTATATGCTTATTGCTGCTGGGCGTAATTTGGCCCATATTGTCTTCAAAAACCATTTCGTTTGGTTCAAAGTTTCTTAAATATGCTTTAATATTGCATTTGCCTTGTGTTAATCCGTTTTGTGTGTAACTGTTGATCAGCTCTTAAAGCAAGTTCGTGGACTGATATGTTACATAATTAATGTGGATTTTTAACTGTCAAGCTGTTGAACTACATGCAATGAACTTGAGCAACCCAGTGGTGGCTGCAGAGAGCTGTCTTGTACAGCTGAAGCCTGCCAGCCTCCTGAAAATATGGTGACTGACCCAGCTGGAGCCAAGGCAGGCCAGCCTGAATCTTCTGGGATGGTGGCCTCTGCACAGGAAATAAAAATGGCTTCGGCCTCAAGGGCTTTTGTTCAAGACAAATACTTCTCCACCCCAACAAAATGGGGTTTCATTTGTTGCCCGTTGGTAACAGTATATAGAACACTTCCCAGTTAGGTGACCCTTAATACAGTCGTAGTGTATGTTGGTGTTGAAGAGTCATTATCCAGAGCTGGCGGTCTTTGGTTCAATGAATTTTGTTTCTCTGATTTGTGTGAAACTGGAGTTCTGCAGACAGTTTTCTTGTCTGGATACAACCTGAAGTATGCCATAAGGCAAGACATACGGGGCGATTCTCCGCCCTTGTTATAATGGGGGTGGCTTTTTGTAGCTCACCATCAGGTCTAACCCCATAATTCATTGCTTAACCTTTTGGGCAATTGGGGAGAATGTGAAGTTCATGTAGAAGAAACCAGAGACATGGTTCCCAGTGTACAGCCCCAGTGTCTGGCGACTATGTCCACGATTTTTGCACATTTTTCTTTTAATCGGCAAATGTCTCGACTAGAGACTTAATGACCACAATAAGTGGTCAGTCTCACGTGGGTTATGAGTACTGGCATGCCAGAAAGCCCACATGCTTCAGCTTGCGATAATTTAGTGGTTTACTGGTGAGTGCGAATAGACCGGAAATGTTCCTTTCTGTTCTTGACAATTAATGTATTCATTATGTGCTTTCACATCCGAATTGTGATGGAGGTCATGTTGGAGTTGACCAGTATGTTTTCCACCTTAGATCTTTTGAGGTGGATGTCAGCTAAGGTCTCTCCGGTATGGGGCGGGGGCACAGGGAGACCGTGCTCCCCGCATGTTTCTCACTAACGGTTTTGTTGTCTCTCTCTCCTCATGATGATATTTTATGCGTCCTTTGACAGAAAAGGCAGCAGCTTGGTGACATAGGTAAGTTAATCGCTGTGTCGTTAGCGGTGCTGTCAATGAACTTCACTTTGCACTGGAGTTTTCCGTCTGCCCCTGGGTGGCAGATGGCCACCTGCCTGAATGACACCCCCCTCCACACCGACCCATTTCAAATGTGGCTTTCAAGACTTTCTGGCTCTTGGAAGAGAAATGCCACATGGAGCTTTGTCGCTGCTCTCCTGCTGCTTTCTGCAGGGTTGTGCACAACAGCAGGTCATCCATCCAGCAGGCCAGGAATCGCTGTGCGGTTCCTGTTGCTGCAGACCTTTCTGCATATCACTTGAATATAGCCAAGGTATCACTGTTTGGCTTGTTCCATAATTTGTGCATAAAAGGAACATTAATGGCAAGCCCTTTTTTATGGCACAGTCATAAGGTCATGAAGGTCATGAACTTAAGTGGCCTTCATCTTGTTAGTGCCTATTATGATTTGGTGTCTGTCTGCACCAGATGAAGTTAATTGCACACCGTGAATGCTGATTACCTGTGGATGGCAGATGTTGCTGTCTTGCATTGGGTCACCCTACAGCTGCCAATCGGTTCCTTAAGAACCATCAAACAAATAAGAGGGACAGCTTAGGCAAGCATTCTCCCCAGAGCTCAGACCTTAGCACAACTTCTCAGCGGCTTCGGAGTGGACTTGGAGATCTGGTGGAGTTGAATGTCTGCAGCCATGAATAGATAGGGATGTGTGTGGTCGTGGCTCATGTCAGGTGTCATGGGGAATTGTCTTCAGTCAGTTAATGTTTGCCTGGTGGCAGGCATGGTGCCATCAATGGGCTATTGTAAGCATGGTTTGGTGCACAACAGGTGGCGCTGAATGATGATGTGTACCAAACCGTACCCATTCTGCTGTAATGTCTACTGTTTGGATACCTTGACTGGTGGTCTTAAACTGCCATAGGAATGTAATTTCTTAAATTGTTTGGCTCTGCAGTCACCCAATTCCTGAAGCTTACTGACCAGTGACATTCTGTCACCTTGTGTGTGCAGGAGTTCTCTAATAAGATGGATTCCCCCCCCAAATGTGAACTTGTGGTAGGGCGTGCTAACCCCAGTCTTTGAATCTTCCTTAGTGTTCACTGGTAAACATGGTGCTATCCAGACCATGCCTTCCCTTGAGAAAAGACTCAAAACCGTCACCGACCCTGTGATCGGTGAGTGCCAGTTTGTTTCCCTGTCTATGCTTGCTCCTACTGCCACACCCTCCCATCACGTTCTCAGGTTGTTCTCTTGCCATGACCCAATCTGACAGGTCTTCAGTTTGTATGGGAATACCGGAGCCCTAGCAAGTCTGTCCCCCCTCACTACCTGTGCAGGCTCTGCAAGGTCCAGCGTCTGCAAAATGAGATGAGTGCACATATCACTGGCTGGAAGCACTGCTTCAAATATCTGGTATGCTTAGATCATCATTGATTTGTCATTATTTGTCTGCTAAATAAACCAGAAGATACAGCTGGCTTCTTTTTGCATTTTTAACATGACCTAATTGATTGGGAGTAATTTTGTGTTTGGATGTGGGGTGTGATGTAAGTTTTTTTTAATTTTTTTTGGTGGGGGTTAGAAAAAGCACCATCCCGACAAAGTTCCCCAGGAAGAGGAGGCAGCGGTGAAGGATCCTGCTATCCGCAGAGCCGTGAAGGAGAGCGCTGCTGAGGTGGAGAAGACTGAGGGACGGGGAAAGCTGAAGGTGAGCCCCGCTGCTTCTGACTTCCTTGTTACCTGTGCAGCCCTGGGGAAGGACTCATCATCTATCACCTGCCTTTTAGGTTGTGCTGAAGGAGCCTTTCGAGGTACCTTACTTCCAAGCAATGCGTAAGTGTTGTACAGCCCCCCCCCTGACCATTTTAATTAAATAATAATTCAGGTTTATTTTCATGCAATGGATTGTAATTGCATAAACTTTCAATTGAAATCTTCTGTAGCATCTGCAAAGGTGAAGACCAAAATGGGGATGCCTGGATTAGGTATGTTCTTTTCTTGTGCTTTCCTGCAATACAGCAAAACTACAGTACAGCCCCATTTTTCCCCCATTGGGACTTTTTCCCTTGCATGATTCCTCATGCTCTGTAGTCTTATGGTATAGAGGTAATGTGCTTTTTCTAACGCAGTCCTGGTTTGCATGGCCTTGGGCATTGTTGTGAATTGTGGGTAGAGTGTTTCGTGTAGTGTACCCTTCAGTAATGACTGTAACTCTGACAGATGCCAGGTTCCCGAGGGGTTTCCCGGATGGCATGGCTCCTGGGGAATTCCCTCCTTGTGGAATGCGACCCGACTTCCCCATGGGCCTGCCGATGCGGCGATTCCCCGCAGACATGCCCATGAACAGCGGCGGCGGGTTCTCTGATGGTATGCCCATGCCACGCAACAATGGTGCCGGGCGTCCCTTTCCAGGCGGCATGTCCATGAGGATGCCCGGGGATGACATGGGTATGAAGATGCGAGATGGGGACATGGATTTAAGGCGCTTCCCAGACAACAGGCCCATGGGGATGGGCGGTGACAACTTTGGCATGGGCCCGAATCCTGGCCGCCGCTACCCAGATGATTTTTCTGGTGGCCAGCTAGGCGGCTCCAATGACAGAATGATGCCTGGCATGCAGAAGGGCCCAGAGGGCAACAGCCTCCCAGACACCCTGTTAAAGTACCTGGTATGCTTCATCCAACGTACATCAGAGGTCCATGTCCTGCATAAGAAACGTTCCTGGCTCTGTGAAGCATCTAATGTCTGTCTGATTCGTAGGATACCTTCCGCATTGAGAATGAAAATGACGCTCAGATCGTGTTGAAGGTGACTCAGAAGCTGACTGATGTACTGATGGAATACAGACTTAGGAATGTCTCCTCGGTAAGGACCAGGATGTCACCAAATTGGTTGATGTATTTACCCAGAACGTCTAGACCCCCCCCCCCTACAAAATCATAACTGATTTGCAGTCTTTAAAATTTGCTTCATGTGACATTCTGGTTCAATGCAGGGATCCAGTTTAAAGAATACTTCCTCTATGAATTCCATGGGTTCACTGAATTCCATGGGCTCTATGAACTCGATGAACTCAATGAATTCAATGAACTCCATGAACTTTGGCTCCCGAAGTGGAGGCGACCGGTACTCTGGAAGTCTTTCAGGTATGAATTGTGTCAGTTGCAAATGAGCCAAACTGATTCCCGTTCACCTTGGCACAGGTCCATTGCGGTGTTCCATTAAGCAGGATTTCTTGCTTGGTGGAATGTCAGATTTAAGGTATTCTGAGGTAGATTAACTTTCTCATTGTTTGCTTACATTTAGCCCAGACTACCTTAAATCTTACAAGTTATCCAGCTAAGCAAGAAGTCCTGCTAAGTGAAACAGGCCCAAGGTATTTAAGTAGGAGACTGTTCATGAGAAGTCCAAGATCTTTGCTTCGCAGTCTTTGATAATTCTTGGTCAGCGTTCCAAATTATATTGTGGATTTAAGGCTTTCTTACCTAACTCTTGAATTTTCTTGATGGGGAAATTATAATAATTGTTCATATTTTCTCTCCAAAGGCTCATCCAGATTCTTCAACTGATCGCTGTCCATCCCAGTAGATCTCCAGCTGCGGTGGTCCAGTGGGCCCTGACATCATTGATGTCTTGGACTACAGTCTTTCATGTTAATAGTTTTGATGGTTTTTCTTTTTAAAGAAGTGCTCATTTAATCCCTACATGTACTTTTTTTGTACAGCTGTTTTTAAAAAATGGCTTGCTTTAAAATGGAGGTGGACCAACTTACCAGCTTGTATGCAGTCACGCACAATTGCAGTAGTTAAAACAGAGATCACTCCTTATTTTAGGATTATGGGATTTTCTGTTGATAGGAATTGGCTCTTGTATCCTTATACATCAAACATCAATTTCAACAGGTTTTTGTAGGTGTTAATATTTGGAAATTGTATAATTAATGCATACAATTACTTAGGGGAGGGACATACTAGCCTTTTGAATGCTGCATCCTGCTATCCTAATTTGTTACTCTGTCCATTTCAGTAAAAATTTGAACCCTATGTGTATTTTGGGCTTATGTTTTTTTTTTTATTTTTTTGTGCATTTAAAAACCCATACTTGTCCTACCCAAAAACAAGTATTTATGAAGATCCTACCAAATATGGGGATTCTGATTGCTTGAAGCTTCTCATGACCCAAAGTCTTCAGTGTTTCCTATGAGAGGCATCTTGTGATTTTTTTCCCCAACCCCCCTCTCAGTATTTTGAATGTGTCCCCCAAGCAATAAACCATATATTTTCATTTGGAAAGCAAGTTGATGTTTTAGTACAAATGCCACAAATACTCCAGTACATGTTTTGCACACATTTATTTTGTGGTTTACAGTTCAGATGCTTAGGAATTTAAGCCCATGTACAGAAAGTGTTGGGTTCAAAGCCTATAAAAAGATGCACAGTATTGCATCTCTGAGCCCTTGAGTAAAGCACTTTAAAATCAACTGATCTAGGGATGATACCTGATCCTGCTCTCTGACACCAAGGTTTCCTTGGCATATTAATCTGCGTATTACGCATAAACTTTTTGGTAACACTGATCCATTCAATGTTGATATCTACCAATTCTGAGACCCATTCTGAACTTGTAAATTTCACTATACATGTATATACAGTAGGTGGTGCTCCAATCTTCATCTGAGTAAGCCTCGTCATTTTGCAGTATTACTCCTTATGTTTCTGCAAGGACCTCATTTCATCCATTGTAATAAACGATGCTCTGTAGCTGCATCTCAAAAGGATGGCATTGAAAACATTGCAGGTAGCTGTTGGGCTGCTTTGAGTTTACAATTTAGAGATTTTCCAGACAGTTGACATTTCAGTAATTTGTAGTTTCAAACCACATGCCTCAGGCTTACTGCAACGTGCCAGAATCAAAGCAACTGATGTAAATCGGGTAGACATGGGGAAAATGTGGCTGTGATAGTCAATACCAATCAATTAAACCTGGATTGGTCCTGATTTTGATCTTTGATATCAGTTGGGGACATGAACACTTTTAATCGTATATTCTTACCAGCATGGTGGTGCAGTGGTGGGTCTGTTGCCTCACACCTGCTGCCCCCGCTCCACGTGGAGTTTGTGTTCTTTCTGTTTCTGTCATGGGGATTATTGCAGGTTCTTCAGTTTCCCCATCACCGTACAAAAACATGCTCGGGTGCCAAATTGTTAGTGTGAAGTGTGTGTGTGCCCTGTGATGGGTTGGTGCCCCATCCAGGGCTGTTCCCTGCCTCGTGCCCATTGCTTCCGGGATAGGCTCTGGACACCCCGCGACCCAGTAGGATAAGCGGGTTGGAAAATGGATGGATGGATTCCACAGGCTTCAGTCAACTTTTTCCAACTTGCATATACTGAAGTACCAAGTAACCAAGTACTGCCTGTACCTGTATGTACAATTTAAAACTCTGAAGGACATTTATTCATATTTTATTTCAACTACAAAAAAATGGGCATTGTGATACACAAACATATTCATCTCAATGGCATGAATTAAACTAATATGCTCCTTTACACAAAGGTTGAAAGATTCCTGATCGAATTATCTCCTTTCCTGAAAAGCCAGTTCTTAAAGAAAAGGATTTTCCACGATACTGAAAGGTTTACTTTTTGGAGGTACTTTTTATTGTCAAGATTCAGCAGAATATCTAAACGTATAAATGGAGCTGCTGAAGGTCACATCATTAAAACGAGTTCCATAAAGAAAGAACGCAATGTGAAAAATAACGATACATTCAAATGTAGAAATGGAGTTATTGTAGGTTACTTTCTATAAAAAGAATTCCATAAAGACTAAGATGAAAAAGATACATCAAAATGTGTTAACTGAGTTACTGTAGGTCATTTTCCTGCCAAAAAAATAAGAAATCCATGAACAGAACATGATGTCAAGATGATTTGTCGAAATGTATTTATGGAATTACAGTAGGTCACTGTCTACATAAAGAATTCCATAAAGTAAGGGCGTAAGGACAGAAAGATACACATCCTCCTCACCGATTCCCATTTAACAGGCCCTTCACCTGCTGCGTGGTTATTAGGGTCAGAATCAGGGGGGCCCCAAGAAAGTTCTTACCATTCTGCTGCTCAGCCAATTTGGCGGACTGCACTGACTCAAACATCACTACAGCTTCACCAAGTCCAACCCCCCGATTATCAGACAGCAGATAGATGCAATCTTCTGAAATTTGAAACTTTCCGAAAAAATCCTTTATCTGAATTTTTCGAACATCAGAGGGAAGGTTTCTTACATATATGCAAGAAGGTTCCTCTTTCAGTCTTTCAATTCGAGACTTCTTAGCAACTGTGCTGGGAATTGATTTATGTCTCTTCATCATTGCCCTCATCTCTTCCTTTGAGACAACAGACACACTTAAAATCCGAGAGCAAAAATTGTACCTGTCAAGATCCAGAGCAGATATGCAATCCTCCTTTTTGTCAAATAAGATGAATGCTGTGTCTGTTCTGCGGCCCCAATTGTCAAGCAAATGTAACAACCTGTTGTTGGGAACATTTGCACACTTAAAGAGATCTTTAATCTCTGTTTTTGTAGTTACGCGGTTCAGGTTTTGTATCATGACACAGTACTCATTACTTGGCAGAGGGTCTGAAGTTTGTTCCATTGGAGGCCGTGATTGTGATTGATCCAGTAGACGCATTTCCCTCTGGGCATCTTTTTGGTTTTTGTATGATGCCATTTTACAATGATCAATTGCAGTGAACCAGGTGCCTTCCGTTGCCCTATTCACATCAACACAAAAGGACCCCAAACTACGTCCGCTGTACTTCAACCCTTCATGTGACTCCTGTTCACTAGCAAACTTAACCAAACAACCACGATAGCCATGCCCGACTTGGGCGTTGATAATGACTTCTTTAACCTTCAGTCCTTTAAAGAAATTGCAGATTTCATGTTTGGTGACGGAGCGGGGAAGTCCTCGGATACTTAAATAACATGTTCTTGATGCTGCTGTTGACAGATTCCCCACTGGGCACTTCCCCAGAGGGGCACTGGCAGTATCAGGCGCAGGGGAGATCCCATTATGACTAGTTACTTCCAGCAAATCCCCTGATGGTGCTGCTGCTTGCTTCAACTGCATCTTCCCAGCATCTGAAACCAAGCTGAGTAAAAAGCCTAAAATAACTTCAGGCTTGTTAGCTGCCATCAGAGTCTCTATCAGTTTAGTGTCAGGGCCCACCCCTGAGGAATCATCCCTTTTCAGGCAGGATATCATTTTCTGCCGAAGTTCTGCTTCACTGCTGACAGAGAGGACAACATGGGACCCCTTGAGGAAAGTCCCAGACTTCTGTAGTGCAAGCTGGCCATCTTCTTTTTCAGCAAATACTATAAATGCCTCTCCAAGACTACCACCAGTAATATGTACCCCACCTTCAGGTATATGTAAACCACTGAAGAATTCACGAATGTCTCCAGATCCTGCCTCCATACTTAAACCAAGTAGCTGTACAACTGCCATTGTACTACTCTTCCTAAAAGCTGTATAAAAGAAAAAAAATGAAAATATTTACTGAAGCATTTAAAATTTCTTTTCGTACTAGTATTACATCTAACAACACCGTTATGATTCTACAAATAAATGTGTAAGTGGTAGAGGTTTTTAAACAGTCTTTACAAAAATTAAGTATTTCAGATGCCATTGCGTTCCCCATAATACATACGCTTTTTTGCGGTTTACTCTTGTTTCCGAAAGATTAACAGCGTTTTATTGACTAATATCACAAGCCTACCTCATGAACGACTTCTGTGCACGCTGGCAATATAATGGAGGGACGAGTTTACCGCGCACTTTTGACAGGAAGCCTTGCCTCAGGGAATTGTGGGTAGCCGGAAGTATGGTTTGTTGCCATTGCTTGCTATGGCGACGGGGACGCTATCTGTACTCTTTTGCAGATTTTTTCTCTTTTGTCTGCTCAAGTCCAGTATTTACAAAGGCCAGCGGTTTTCAATTCTTTTTCAGCAGCCCTCAGACTGCGGCGTCGATAAGTTTTTTGATACATCAAGTTTATCTTGCGTAAAATGTGGACCAAACCAAATACGCGGTAAATCTGGTAAGTATTAATTAAGTAAAGTTCAAAATCAAATCGGTTTATTTACGCTGTACGTTTTAAAATACCCGTTATCAACACCATTTCCAAACGTAAAAAACATTGTAATTGCATTATATATTTACGAAGTTCTTATATTTATAACTTTTGTACAGCTATTTCTACTGCTTTAATTTTAAGACGACATAAAACTATGGGAGTAACACAATATGCACGTTCATTTTTGTGTTTGTATTTGTCCACCAGGTACTATATGTGTGTGCCAGACGGGATTCAGAGTGGTTTCCAGTAACGGCCCGGCAATAACGTGTCAGCAATGCCCAGCTGGTGCCAAATCGGTATTTCTCTCTAATAATTTGTTTAAGTCCGCAAACTGAGCATAATTATACTAAATTCCAGTAAATATATTCTGTAACTTATTAATTTAGTTTAATTTTAACTGCTGCATTGCTTAAAGAGCAAGGTAATCAAATCTAGCCTTACATGCATAATACAGTTGTTAGCTTCTTATTATAGGACTTAAAAACATTCCTGCTCTGTTTGTAGGGTGTTACAAGGGATGGCTATGGATGTATAACATGTCCCTCAGGCCTGAGCGAAGATGGAACATGCCAGTGTCCTGCAGGGAGCGTGTTGGGTTTGTCATGGCGCATTTTATGTTGAATCCAACTCAGACATTGCATTTATGGTGCTGCCAGAACATTGATATATAAATGTTTGTAATCATATCACCGATACAGACAGTATATTTCCATATTGACGATTACAGACCCTTAACAGAATCTAACCTCTTCCCCTTCTTTCCCTCTGTACTTCCTATGAGATTATTCACATTTATTTATTTGGTGAACACTTGTGTCTAAAGCAGTGTTCCTCAAACTGGTCCTCAGGAACCCACAGACAGTCCACGTTTTTGCTCCGTTCCAGCTCCCAGAGCAAAAATGTGGACTTTCTGACAGGGGGAGCAAAAACATGGACCAGCTGTGTGTCCCTAAGGACCAGACTGGGAGACAGTGGTCTAAAGAAGATAATGCTTCTCAAGCATAACCACTTTGATACTTTCCAATGTAATACACATAATTTTCCCCATCATCATAATTGGTATCTCCATCATTCATAAGTACGTAATAATCATTACTGTGATGGTAACTTAAAAATGGGAAATTTGTGAAAACCTCATTTACTTTCTGACCCAGTGGAAAGGGCTTTGAATGGGAGCCTTCTGGAAGAGGCCGTATGTCAACCCTGCAACTCGACAGAGCCTGCTTACACAGCCCCTGACTCGGCTGGGATCAGGTATCACTTCTGTGTCCGTCTCTAAGTGACTCATTGGATCAGTCAACAAAGTGATGAATATATGCTCTTAATGAAACTGTGGGCATGAACATTACCTGGATGCATCTGCACCTTCTTGATTGTCAACCTTTGCCTTTATTTTTCCCCCCAGGTGTGCAAGGTGTCACGACTCCTTCATCAACACTTCCCTCTCGTGCACGTGTGGTGCAACACAAGTCTCTGTGAGTCTTTTCTATGGGGAACAACAGGCCATGGAAATCCTTTCTGTCCAGCATGAACACAACCACACTGCAGATACAATTTGAACAGGGCTGTTGAACCCTAATCTGCAACACCCACCGGCCATGCTGGTTTTTAAGACAAGCTTTTGTTTAATTAAGCATTTTTTATATTGATTTTTTTTTTTCTGATCAAACTATGTAATGAAATACATAAAAAACCTTGTCATAATTAATGAATGATTATTGACTTGTCATTCATGTGTTCCTTTAAGTAATTAACTAATATAAAGTCGCTTGTGTTCTATTCTCATTTGTTTTGCAAAAAAAATAATGTAACCATTTTTGTAATAATAATAATATAATGAAGTTTAACACTACTTATAGGTCATTGCTATCCTCTAGTAAACACAAACAGATGAATTTAACTTTAATGATGCAATGATTTCAGTGAACAGTTCTTTCATAGTAAAAGGTTTTTAAAAGCCTAGCTGAGATGAAAACCAACGAACCTTGGCCAGTGGAAATTGGTGAAAGCGACAATAAGACATTCAGGTTGCTATGTGTAAATTGACACTTGGAGGTGGTCTGATTATATACATCAGCATCGTTGGTTGTCTTTTCCAGGTGGGAGGTCTGTGTTTCCCTCCAAATAATCTGCCAACATCTGTTGCTTCAAACATCATCTATAATCAACTGGTAAGGTCATTATTGCTCAGGGGCTATACTTACTGTGAACTGGCGGAAGGCTACGTTTTTAATATACGTTTTAATCCAGTCAACACAAACCAATCTTTTCCTTGTTTATAAATTAATAGTTTGCCGTGACGTTCCTCGGTCCCCGGTTCAGCAGCTGTTTGGCTCAGTGGATGTGGGTGCAGTAATTTCTTTCCGTTAAACGTTTTTCTTGTTTCTTTCATCAATTTCTCCTGCAGGCACTGCCTGTCCAGTCAGTATGGTTCTCCAGATATCTGCACTCCTCAGCTCTGTCCTGCTTGGTAATAATTCCCCATTTGCTTCTTTCTGCCCTGACTAGGCCTTTGCATCAGTGGATTTATAATGAGTTTATCCATAGCACTGTTGAGAAACAAAAGGATGAGCGAGATATCACTCTGTACATGCATCAGTTTGGATTGGGTTGACATTTCATCTTAGTGTGTGTGTGTGTGTGGGAGTAGCTCATGTCTAGGCCAGGGGTCTCCAACTCCGGTCCTGGAGAGGTACCGTCCAGTAGGTTTTCCATCATACCCGGCTTCTGATGAGCCACACCAGGTCTCAGGTAAATACCAGGAACAGGTGTGGCTCATCAGAAGCCAAGTGGGACAGAAAACCTACTTCCTCTGAGAAAACTTGCTGTGGCTCTTGTGATATTACCTGGTACATGTTTGGGCAGCTCTTTAGCAAAACTCATTTCCTTCCCACAGGTTTTCTCCAACCTCACAGCCTGCCAGGCCCTGGGCAACATGTGTGTGATGAACATGCACTCCCTCAGCAGCACCAACAACGATGCCTGCGGGCTTTATAACAACGTGTTCCGGGCTACTGCTGCACTGGGAGCAGCTCAGTCCATTTCCTACTGGTGAGCTAGCCTTAGCAGAGGTAGAAGGTTCATGTCCAGGAAGTACAAGTCCAGACCAAGGTTTTGTTTCAGCCCAACTAGTTGAATACTCTGTGACTCTTTATACTCAACTGGTTGGTTGAAATAAAACTTTGGACTGGATTTGTACTTTTTGGACCTGAACTTCCCACCCCTGAGCCTTACTCTGTAGTGCTGGCTAACTGTTCAACAGAGACATTGGAGGCGTAACATTTGCTTTTGTGCTTCATGGATGTCAGGAGGGTTAATCTTCCCTGGCTGTTCTATGGGGACCAGCCTGGCCTGGCATCCAGAGCCCTGAGGACTGAAGCCCTTCCTGCAGGCTTCACTTTCAAAGGAGCCCAAAAGGTGAGTCGTGTAGCTGCAAGGCCTCTGTTCTCTACCGCTGCTCAGGTGAGCAGAGCCTGGAGTTTCACATGTTGGCTATAGCAGATAAACATGATTAGCCTCTTTTTGAGAAAGTTAGGTCTGGGGTCTCTTTTGGTCCCTTAAACATACACAGTTATTTTGTTTCAAGTAGGATCTTGACCTTTGTCAACATGTTAGCCAGGTAACTGAAATCACCCGCTTCATAACCCTATAACAGCCTGGTCAGTCTTCATTTTAACACACTTTGTCAAGAAGCTGGGTACCAGAATGCAATCCCAGAGAAAAGCAGTATTTTCATATGCTCTCAAACTGTTTTTCATAAGCATATTACAGAATGACCAGATGGCACTGTACAATAGGTTTGTAATTTAGGTTTTTCTAGTAGCAAAACTATTATCTAATAAGTTAAATTTCTGACAATTTTAGGAAGTTATTTGTGTTTGTATTTTTTTTCCCAAAACTACATAGTATTTTTATATATATGTGTATTAACTCAATTTTCTTAAGAATACAAACATCAACTTCATTGCCGCTGTTTACAATGCGAGGGGAGACTTCCTGAAGTGGGAGACCATCGGAAAAGGGAACTTACAGGTATGAAAACGTCTCATGCAGCAACGGAAGACTTCTTTATGGTTGACTGATCTTTGAGCTCACAACAAATAGAGATATCTCACAATTAGTTACCTTTCCTTCATCATCAAACAACTCCCAGCATCCTAGTTCTTTGTACTTACGTATACCCTTCAAATGATGTTGAATAACGACTTCCAAACATTTCAAGTTACGAACAGTTACGTCTGTAATTAACTAACTTCAAATTAACTAGGGAAATCCCTCGATTCTTATATAACATGACACCCAAGTTGAAAATTGGCTAGATCTGTGTACAGATGTCAGATATCAGTAGTTTCGTCGCGAAGCCTTGAATTACCGATTTGGGCTTCCTCATGCGGCTAGTCTGCGCATACATTTAAATTCCTTGCAATTAATCACCCTGGACGACACCTGGGACTTATCACTCTTAGTTCTGTTTTCAGTGTTATTTGGGTTTTTAATAGACGTTATTAAATTCCGCATTGGTGGTTAATTTATGATAACCAGGTGTAACTATTCTTTATAATGTCATTGTAACCCTATTTATACAATGAGTAGTTATATTGTTGTGTGATGAATGTAAAGTCTCAGTATTTCCTCTCCAGCTATGTCCAGACTCAGCCAGGCGACTCGGCGCAGCGTACACGTTTGGAATGTCCTACAAGCAAAGCGTAAGCGCCGTTTCACCCGAGGTTCAGCTCAGTCTGCTTTTTCACCTTCAACGCATGCAATGACTCGGAATGTGTTTATGTATTAATGGTGAACTTAATGTTCAATCTGAAGACCCTGTAGTGTGGACTATACACCAATCCTTTGTTTAGGATGAATTACATGACTGATGGCTGTAATTCACATACAGTATAGATGTGGAGCCATATAAACCTATTTAATATAAATCTGTGCAAAAATTCAGTTTTACACTTCACTGATCTTTAGTCATGTGAGATACACAAAATGACCAACAAGTATAGCAGAACTTACACTAACAACACCTACATACTGTATAAACATACAAAGTCAAGTGCACTGTTCTCTCCTCATCATCCAACTGTGTTGTTTTCTTCCCATTAGTGTATCCTGTCGCTATCTGAGATGCTAACGGCTTTCCCAGAGCCTCTGTTTTATGACATCTTCATGGACGTCGGCCAGGGTAGCAGCAACAGAGGGAGAAATCTCCTGTCTGTGCCTGTCCAGAACCTCAATCTCCAGTTCAATGAGCAGTTCGTCAACCAAGGTGACCATAGATAGTTGTCCCCAGACCTCCAGCAGACCACTGCTACAGGAGTCCAGCATCATTCCAATGACTCGTATATAAAACCCTTTTACCATTTTCTTAATTGTCTGCAGAGTTCAAACACTCCAAATTTGCCTTGATGCTACAGGCGAGTGGTGAAATAAGAAAAAACAAGATCCCTGCAGTCTCTTAATTTCCAGATTCAGCATCTCCCACCTTCACCTGCACTAGGAGTACATTAGGAGTACATCAAAATCCATGAAGCATCTTTACCTTTTAACTTCTGAAGATTTCTGTTCAGAGAAAAGCTCTTCAAAGCAAAGTTATGGGAACACAGAGAGACTCTGAATGAATGTTTATGCAAGCTCCGGATGCAAAATTCAAATGAATTGGTCATGTTTGCATCTCTTATCAGGAAGTAACATGAACAATTGGTTTCTGACCCGACGGATCTTCCTGGTAGACGCTTTGAGCGGACGTGAAGGCTCGCTGACCTCCCTGCCGAAGGTCATACGCGTGGCAACGAGCATAAAGATAAGGCAAGGACATTCGCTGTTCGTTCAGTTAAAGTGACGGCGGTATGAATCACAGTGTGTAGCAAACCTAGCTGGGAAGGTGTCAGTGGGCTAAACAGTTAGTATGCTGTGATTGTGTGTATTGATGTGTAGTAAACATTTCATTTTTTCATGTATTGCTTTAATTAAAAAAAATGTTTATTCCTCAAAATTCTGTGAAACTATAATATTATTATTGGTAGTATTTTGAGTATTATTTTGCTGTGATATTGTGATTAATTCTGCATTATTGAGGAATATGACTCTCTTACAGTTTTCAACTGGTGCCCAGTACTCTGAAAGGGGAAGTCTACCCACCTTTGATATCTGTCTCATACTCGGATATCCTTGTCTCTAACGTCAACACACAGACCGTCCCCGTAAGTTACCGACTGACAGCTAGATCACCTGTAAACTAACAGGTTTTCCTCACCATGAAATTCATGTTTACTGTAGGTATCATTTTCAATGGAGTATGAGATGGACCAGAGTGAAGCTTTGGTCAAAACCGATGTGAGTATCATTTTCTTTAGCAGGTGCTTTTACCCAAAGCGACATACATCTTTCTGAGGAAGCAAGGGCAGCCAGTTCCTGAATGACGTTTACCGTCTTATCAGTCTCTACATGTTGCTTAATATCTCCATGTTTCCAAAAGTGATTCGCAAAAATTTCATCGTGGAGTTTTCCGACATATACGGAATCTGCATTTATGGACGTTTCATATTGTCACTATCTATGAGGTCATCTTGTTCCTTTGTTGAATTTCATCGATGTTTTTCTGTAATTCCATAAACATGTCCTTAATTATCATCTTCTGAAGCCTTCATGGTCATTAGGTCATTAGGTTTTCACTTAAAACATCGACGTAAAACAGTGCTACACACGTGGCAGAATTCTTATTAGGGTTATCGACAGAATTACTAGTTGGATTCTACAATTGCCCGCACCATGTCCGATAAATATCCCTAATAAACACTGAGAAAGAGGCATATGAGCTTTTCCACCCAACTTCTCGCCAGTTAACTCCGTTAGGTTTTGCCAGTGCTGTGCTTCCTGTGACAGCCGATGTTCTGCAGATTGCTGTCGGAGTCCTGGGTGGCATTTCCGTGCTGTATGCCCTCCTGAAGACAGCCAGCTGGAAGCGGAGGATCGCCTCTCCTATAATTGACCTAACTGCAAGTATATTCTTGGACGCCGTCAGTGTGTGCTTAAGGCTCTTGGGACGCAGTGGCCCATAGAGAAATTGTCCTTGCAAGCTTTAGTAGTTTGCATAATGATTGCGACCATCTATGCTTAACAATAACATTCCGTTATTGAAACATTTAGAACACCGGGAAAACTAGGTCTTTTTTCTTCTATGTTACTTTGCACAAAATAACAGATGTTGTGTCTCTTGCCGTATCCAGACAGTTCTGAAGTTCTTGTTGTTCTATGCTGGAGACCTCGCCAATGTGTTCTTCATAATCACCATGGGAACTGGCATCTACTGGCTAATTTTTTACAAGGTTAGATGGGCTTTCTGAGCAGGCAGGTCACTGTTAATGTGTGGGGGCTCGCAGGTGTTCAAATATAGGCTAAATCTTGTTTTGCTTCCTTCTTTTTCTCTATTTTACTTTTGCATGTACTCTCCAGATGGTGGAGGCAAGTCTATCCTTATTTCCCCACTTTTGTTTGATCTGCTTTTCCAAGCGAATGCTGTATGTTTTGTGGGTTACATAACAGGCTTCCCGAGATTTGAACCATGTTTGTTTATTCCAGGCCCAGCAATTTGTGTCAGTCCTCTTGCCACTGCCAAAACAAGAGGAGAAATTTATCACCTACGTGGCCTGTGCTTTTGCACTGAAGGTAACAATACCGTTGGTGGCCCGTCCTGGGTTGTTCCCTGCCTTGCACCCATAGCTTCCAGGATAGGCTCCGGACCCCCCACCACTCTGAATGGGACAAGCAATTTCAGAGGATGGATAGATGGATGGATGACAATACCATTTGCAGTTTTATTTTGGTGTCCTTGACTACTTTGATCACGTTTGCTTTATGTCCAAGTTGATTCTGGTGTTATATAGATGGCAAAATGAAACCTTATTTCACTTATACTGGTTTTTCTAGGCAATCCAATTTTTACACAAACTGGTCCATCAGTTGTCTGTGGATATATTCTTGATTGACTGGGAGAGACCAAGAGGGAAAAGCACCAGGACCCTGGAAGGTGAGTTAAAGATCAGTGATTGCTGGAAAGGTGTTTGTTTCCTTTGCGTTTTCTTGTTTTGTGAGGGTGGCTTGATTATATGCCTGACACCAAAAAGGAAATCAGACCCTCCTTGCACAGACATTTTTAATAACATTGCTCACATTATGACCAAGGTTCCTGCTGTTATTCTTGTTTACTGGTTTGTTGTGAAGCCGCATAGTTTTCTAGGAACAATTTAAATGGCATTAAACTGATTAGGTAGATACAGTGATCTCTATCCATGCTATTATAGCGTGTCCACACACAAATGGGGTCCAGCCTTACTCTGTTGCGTTTTTAGGGACAGGCGACCCTAAGAACATGCCCTCCCCTGTGAGTATATGGAGGACGTACTTCGTGGCCAATGAGTGGAACGAGATCCAAACCATCCGGAAAATCAACCCCACCTTTCAGGTGGCGGCGGTCCTGTTTTTCTTGGAGGTACTTTGCAGAGTCTGGTTCTGAGTCTGGTTCTGAGTCTGGTTCTGAGTCTGGTTCTGAGTCTGGTTCTGAGTCTGGTTCTGAGTCTTTGTGTGCGACAGCTAACAGTCAACACTTCAGACTAGCGCAATGATTAGAGATGCACCGATGGTATCGGCCAGCTATCGGTATGAGCCCAAAACGGCAACAATCAGGCATTGGCCTGTGGTTAAAGATGATCCGATGATTCCCTTTAAAATGCTGACCCGTATTGCTTTGCCCCCCCCCCCCCATGCTAAACAGTTAGAAAAGTGTCTGCTGTATGGAATTATTTTTATGTTAGCGAAAATGATTTCAGAAATGCATTTTGCAAACATTGCTCTGCTAAAATTTCATGGGGAGCATCTACCTCCCAAACAATCATATCGGCCAGAAATTTCCTTATCGGTGCATCACTAGCAATGCTAAAATCTGCTTTTTTGTGTTGTCTGCTGCCTTTTGTCTCTTGTACTCTCTTGTTCCCCGTCAATAACAGAAGTGGTTGATGTAATGTGTTAAGCATGCATAGTTTCCCCGATGACCGGAAATGTGTAGAGGTTCTACCAAAGGTGAATCCCTACCTCTCTAACGTTTCACCTCATCTACCCTTCTCAGGTGGTGGGCTTCGCCAATCTGGCCCTGAGGGACCCTTCCTCAGATCTCAACCGAGAACCAGAAGCCTATTACCCACCTTGGAGCCTTATCCTCAGATACGGCGTAGCCACAACCGTTTGGCTTGTCATTGGCTTCCTGCAGGTGTGGAGCTTCGACACCTGAGTGGTGTCCAGCTGTTTAGAGAAGAAATACAAAGTTTGTCATCATATACAACCATGAGCCATACCATTAAAACCACTGACAGGGGAAGCGAATAACCTTGATTATCTCATTGCAGTGGCACCTGTCAAGGGCAGCATTATATATTAAGCAAGAGAACAGTCAGTTTATGTAGTCGATGTATTGGAAGCGGGAAAAATGGGCAACCATAAGGATCTGAGCAACTTTGACGAGTGCCAGATTGTGATTGTGAGCTGACTGGGTCAGAGCATCTCCAAAATGGCAGGTCTTGTGGGGTGTTTTTGATATGCAGTGGTCAGTACCTACCAAAAGTGGTTCTGGGACGGCTGACCGGTGAACCAACGAAGGGGTCACTGGTGCCTATGGCAAAGGCTAACCAGTCTGGTCTGATGTCACAGGAGAGCTACTGTAGTTCATATTGCTAAATGTTAAATCTGGCTATGTCGAAGAAAGGTGTCGAACACATAACACCTTGCCATTCTACAATTCTCAATGGAGCGTGGAATGATGGAAGACGGTGGCCTGGACTAATGCAGCATGTCTTCTATTATTCCATGTGTATGGCCAGGTGTGTGTGTGTTGTTTAAAAGATGGCACCAGAATTCATTGTGTGAAGAAGGCAAGCCGGTGGAGGCAGTGATGCCTTGGGGTATGTTCTGCTGGGAAACCTTGGGTTCTGGCATTGATCTGGATGTCACTTTGACATGTACCTAAACATTATTGTAGATCAAGTATATCCCTTCATGACAACTGTTTTCCCCGATGGCAGTGGCCTCTTTCAGCAGGATAATGTGTCCTGCTACACTGCAAAAAATATTCAGGAATGGTCTGAGGAACGGAACATGAAAAAGAGTTCAAGGTGTTGACTTGGCCTCCAAATACCCCAGATCTCAATCCTATTAAGCATCCGTGGGATTTGCTGGACAAATAAGTCTGATCCATGGAGGCCCCACCTCATGACTCACAGGACTTAAAGCATCTGCTGTCGACGTCTTGGTGCCAGATACCACAGGATAACTTCACTGGTGGAGTCCATGCTTCACCGAATTAGAGCTGTTTTGGCAGCACGAAAGGGACCTACACAGTACTAGGCAGGTGGTTTTAATGTTATGGCTCATTGGTGTACTGCATGTAGCCATTTTTTTAATACTGGAAGCATTAACACAATTTGCTTTGCCATTTGACACGGCAAAACGGTGTCTGGTTAGGAGAAAAGTTTTTACTTCTGTAAATTCAACAGTTAGATGATAATGACAAAGTAAAACATATACTTGTTTCTGTGGATTCAGTTGCTGAACTTGGAGTCTTTTTTTTTTCTTTTTTTTTAAATTTTATTTCAGATGATTTTCTTCACTGTGTTTTACGAGAGGTTTGTGGAAGACAAGATCAGGCAGTTCGTGGACCTCTGTTCAATCAGCAATGTGGGTTTTACCTAAACCTCCGTTCAGAAGAAACAATAGTGCACTTTATTTCACTTCTCTTTTTGCTGCTCCATGTTATACTTCATTATTTCTGTCTTTAAGTTATGTCTCATTATGTCACTCTTCGTGTTACACCTCAATATGTCACTCTTCATGTTACACCTTATTATGTCACTCCTCTTTATATTACACACCATTATGTCACTCCTCTTTATATTACACACCATTATGTCACTCCTCTTTATATTACACACCATTATGTCACTCCTCTTTCTATTACACACCATTATGTCACTCCT